CCCAGTGTATCTCTAAAAAAATCAATAATCCCTGCACCATTCCGTAGTCCAAAACTTCGCAACGCTCAGACTTTTTAATGAACTTTGGCGACCCTAACAAACGTCGGTGCTCACCGATGCTGTATCTTGTGGTGCCTCGCGCGAAGGTTCTCTGACCGTTCACGATGGCAAGCCCGACAATCTAAAATAAAATCGAACGACGCTTGTATTTTCTTTTCACCCCCCCACACACACACACAAGTGACGAGTCCAAGTAATGATTAAATTTTATTTGCACGGCGAAACAGCGTTTATACTGTACAACCTGCATTTCACAAATTTTGCGTTATCACTTCTATCGCCGGCAAATTTCTGGGTGGTAACAAAAGAGAAAGTAGATCTTGATTTTCCTGATCGAGCCTCTGTGTCATCATACACTTCTGCCTGCCGCCATAGCCGCCTTTTCACGTGAAATGTACTCTCGGACGCAGAAAAGGTGAACGAATATAATGTCACAATCACGACCGGCAAAAACGGAGTCGTGTACCATAGCTAGGGTTCACTGAACAGTCCTGTTGGCTTCATCACTGAGTAGGCAGGCTAATTTACGACCGTTTACCAAATGTTTACTACCTTCAAGGCAAATTTACTACCATTTACGACCTCTATGACCTTGCTGGACACCCTGCTTTCATTCAAAGAACCTGGGTTCGAATCCGGATAGCGATGGAAAAATTTTCTGCTCTAAAATTGTCTCCTTTCACCTCTTTTCCTGCTCTAACAATGTTCTGTCGTCTGCTTTCATCTCCACTTTCTGCCCCCACTCCCTCACCTCCTTTGACCCCTCCTCCGGGCTTCTGCAGCCTTTCTTCTGCTACTCCTTGGCTCCTTCTTACTGCTGTCTTCCAGCCACATGATCCTTTGAGCCAGTAATAGAATGTTAGTAACGAGATACGGAGTGTCTACGTACACGGTAACCGAGCATCTAGCCTCAGTGTCTACGTACACGGCAACCGAGCATGTAGCCTTAATATATATACTTACACGGTAACAGGCAACGGGGCATGTATGTAGTCTCAGTGTTACGTACACGGTAACGGGGTAGTTCAGAACTCCAAGTTCAGTTTCTGTCATCCGGTGTTGCCTTCAACCCCATCCCTCCCCCGACTGTACCTTTAAAAAAAACGCTGCGTTAAATAAATCAATAATCCCTCCATTCTGGAACCCTATACTTCGCAGCGCAAAGACTTTGAATGAACATTGGTGACCCCAATGATCACCAATACTCACAATGTGATGCGAACGAACAGGTTCACTGACCGGTCACGGACGATGGCCAGCCCGACAATTAATGATTGTATGACTTTTTTTCCGCAAGGACAAATATTGATTTATTTTCATTCCAGTTACCATGTACGTAGATACTGAGACTAGGTGCCCGGTTACCATGTACGTGTGTGTAGATACTGAAACTAAGTGCCCGGTTACCATGTGTGTTCGCAGACACTCCAAATGAGATTTAAATCATAAAATTAGGATAAGTCAACTGACTCTTAATCTCAAGTACCTCAAAATAAAACCCTCTTTCCTATGTAGATTTTAGTGCGAGATTCAGTCAGCGCACAGCGCAGGTTGACCATGGTTCTGCTGCGAGAGAGGACTTACTCCGCTTTAAACTGCCAGGCTGCGCTGCCGCCCACGGCCCACAGCAGAGCAGCCTCAATTTCCACATGCCGTTAAACTTAGAAATGACGCATCTTTCTGATTGGCTGCTAATTTTAGTAATGTAATGTCATCACTTCCTGGGATACCCAAATGGAACGACGTGTTTTCGGTAACATTTCGGATTTTCTAGCCTAGATCTAGATCTAGATCTAGAATCTAGATCTAGATTCTAGATTAGATCTAGATCTAGATCTATTAGGCCTACCTGGACATGATGGAAGACCGCACGAAAATTGCCGTAAAGACGCAGGAGGACTAGATAATATCTAGTTCTAGATCTAGATCTAGATATCTAAATTTAGATCTACCAACCCCCCCCCCCCCTCCTGCATTTTTAATCACTAATACATTTTAAAAAATAAACAACAACTTCAAAGTCAAAGTAACTCTACAAATTAGGCCTATAATTTATGGAACTGTTGGTCAGTCGGGAGGAGGAAAAGAGAAAAGAAAAACTGTGCGGGACCGGAATCGAACCGCTCCAAAAGTCATTGCTCGACATCAAACGCAGACGCGCTATCAAATCAGCTATCAGAACTTCCGAAAAATGGTGTAGATTAAGCATAATATATACATAGACACTTCCATCTTTGGTGCCGTGCGGTTGTCTATACTTAGATGTAGTCACGTGATCGGAGGGGTATCCTGGTCTGACGTCAAACAAGATGGGCGCCTTACCTAAAAATAGTTTGCATCATTTCTACTTTTAATCGCATGTTCAATTTCCAACTGTACATAAGTAGCCTTATAACAGTAACAGTTCTTATTGACTTACACTTATTAGATATATTTTGTCCTGAGTGAAATTTGGCACAATTTTCACTAGTTCCCTTTCAGCCAAAAATTCAACCTCTGCAGGATCCATAAAGGCTAAATTTGCTTTGGAACGTTTTGTCAACAAAGCTCCTCGACTTCGAGTGGGCTTATGATGTTGTTTCTCCCGCGACCTGGTCTAATAATAGAGTATTGAGCCTGTGTGTGTGTGATCGACTTCCGGATAGGGACAGGTATCTTTTACTCAGTACGGCTAATATCTTCTAACGCAGGTTACAATTATTATTTCTGTGAGAATTCTGGGTTAGTTTTTCAGTTATTCTGCTGATTTGAAGTAAAATGTAACTTTTGAATGTTTATAATGCAGAATTTATGATGAATATATGTGTCACATTCTCTTAGCCATCTCTTAGCCATGGTAAATATTTCGCTCCGTAAATATTTACTTTGCATTTGCGCCTATATGGCATATTGGGGAATGTCTGTCTGTCTGGGATCTTTTTGTTGTTTCTTTGATTAGAGATTTCTGTTCCGCCGCAACATTCAATATGGCAGCTCCCATAAGAAGAAAATCAAGAGGTAGGCCTACAACATGTGTGTTTTCGTGATATCGGTTTTTGCTTAGAATGTTTCAGGTTCAACCGCCAGGTGCACAGTAAAAATATCTGGGTACAACTTAAGAATCTGGGTCCCGTTGGGGGATACTTGATTTGACCCCACCGACGATTACTTCTAATCTAGATCTAGATCTAGAATCTAGATCTAGATATCTAGATTCTAGACTAGATCTAGATCTAATATCTAGATTTAGAATTTAGATCTAGAATCTAGAGATAGAATCTAGATATTAGATATAGAATCTAGATATAGATCTAATCTAGATCTAGATTTTTTAAAAGATCTACTTCTGGCTCTGGTTCTATTCAATTCTTTTAGGCGTGAAGATGGAGGGCCCTGGAGAGCCTACTGTGCCTAGCCTAACTACGCACTCATAGTACTCTAGACTAGGTGCGGACAAAAGGTAGTTCCACGGGCGACTTCTTCGCGCACGCACAGCGCGAGGCGAGGTGAGCGAGAGGTGGTGGTTGAGAGTGGGCAGGGGATTTAACTTTGGCTTTGGTGGACCACCGTGAATCATACCAACAGTGGGGGAGGGAGGAGGGGTTCAGGGGGGGCTTGCCCCCCTGGAAATATTAGAATCTAAAAAAAAAATACACAAATGTGAAACAATAACATGAGCGGAAAGTCGTGTTTACATATTCATTCAATGTAACGGGAGGACTTCCGTAACGAGCGACCACTATGAGACAGAGCAGAATTGAGGTGTAGGGTTAGGGTTAGGTCTAGGCCTCTTCTTTATTGTGTTTGATGGGGTGGTCGCTCGTTACGGAAGTCCTTCCAATGTAACAACAGTGGGGGAGGGGGGGTTTCAGGGGCTAGCCCCCCTGGCAACAATAATTTAAAGACACACTCACACATGATATAAACAATAACATTAGCGGACAATCAGGGTAGATACTCGTCAAGTCGCGAGCAGGGTTGAGGGGTTGCGATTATAGCAAATGAGCTCTCATGCGCATCTCTAGCCCTCCATTGTAATTTTACTTTGCCGGACCAGGAGTAGGCCAAGCCAGCAGAGTCGCGAGCAAATTAGTGGACCACATGATTAGATTGACCAATTAGCCTCAAGGTGTCAGGGTCGTGGGTCAAAGGGCACGGTCGTGATGACTGAAAAACCCGGTAAGAGACGTCAGTCGATTGTTGGCGGTCGAAGGGTGTGGACGTACAAAACTGAGTAGGAGAGTGGGTAGGAGAGCTCAGAAACGAAGAATAACGGGCCACTAGGCCACCAGGGACGCCATAGCGATTTTGAAGTAGTTCCGACCGGTGGTCCGGTAAAGTACAATCTTACCGATACTAGTCTAGAGAATAGCTTACCCGGGGTGAGAATAACGACAGCCTACTATTCTCACCTGGTTTTTTTCGTTTCCACCCTCTTTATTTGTTTCTTCGGGCCTACTATCGCTGAGTCACTGAGCGCTCCAGGCGACAAATATCACCTCCCTCTCTCACTCCGCTGAGCGCGCGAGGTGACTAAAATCACCAATGGGTGGGCCAGCTCTCGAGTGCGGGAGGCGACTTTTTTGTCGATTTGTTGGGAGAAAACCTTATCTTTTGAGCTAATAGCGTCTCCTTTTGTTGCTATTTATTGAAGACTTATGGAAAATTTTGGAAGTGCCTGCCTCTTGCAATGCTGCGTTGCGATTAGCAACAGTGCTAAATACAGACCTGCTACTCATCCCGATTTAATTCCAGGGATATCCCGATTTTTTTCCCCAAATCTCAAGCATCCCGATTTCGATCGCCAGTATCCTGATTTTTGTCGTTGCGCCTGTTGCGTCCGATTCTTAGAAAAAAAAGTATAAAAAGTTCTGCAATCTGTTTTGCTTGGAAGCACCGATTGGATTTTTTATCGGCAAGAACTTGGAACGCTACTTTCTAAAGCATCTATGCCGAATCTAGTAGATGACTCACGCTCGTTACTTCAACTAAAACCAACATAGTATCGATTTTGAATTCTGACATGGATACGCTCAAGATTTACTTTCGCTTTTACAACCCAGAATTCTCTGATGGTGTCCTGATTACTGTAACAATTATGACATAGGCCTAAGAATAATCTATAATTCGTTGTTCTCCCCTTTTCTTTAAAAGCAAGCTTCGTCTGAGTTCTGGTTAGTCGGGCCCGTCATCTCTTAAGTTGGGTACAACTTAATTAAGAATCTGGGTCCCGTTTGGGGATACTAGTTTTGACCCCACCGACAATTACTTCTGGTTCTAAATTATTACTTTTTGATCGAAGTGACTATTTTTCGAACACTCACTCTGGAAAATAACTTGATCTCTATTTCTCCGAACGGTTTCCGTTCTCGAGATTTTTGGGTTATTAGTGAGATTTAGACGTCATCTTTCATTATGCCATTCTGCTAGGACTGGGAAGAAGCATTTTTTGTATCAAAGTTAATTTCTAGAGCTAGAGATTTTTAAATGTCTGAATATTCAGATACTTCAGTTGTGGTTGGGGCAATTTTCCCGGACTATACTTCATTTGAAAATGCGTTCAAAAGGTACCGCGAGAAAACAAGAGCTCGACCTTGGCAGTAACCTGTTTTGCATTTAATCATACCTAAGGCAGGCTTGCCAACCTTCCTGAATTTTTCAGGAAATTCCAGAATTGCCATCGTTGTTCCCGAAACGCCAGCGCGATGTCTTCCCCCCCCCCCCCCAAAAAAAATTTTTTTTTTTTTTACTCGAAGGCATAGAAATGCTGAGGATGAAGGGGTATGTGTATTAATTGTACTGTTACATTCTCATCTCTGTCTCTCTCTGTTTCTCCACTGGTTTGAGCTGTTTTTTAGTAGCCTATCACAGAAGTGTGTGTCCGTGGCGCTCAGGAGCAATCAAAATTCCAGAATTCAGTATCTCGAAAGTTGGCAAGCCTGCTAAGGCAAAAACTAAAATCCTTCATATAAACCCCCAAAGAATGAAATCCCTTCGCGCCTCCTCCCCCCCCCGCTCCGCCCCGTTCACACCTTACAAACACGCACGCGCCCGCGGGGCCATTCCATTCGCTAATTATCAACTAATTTCGAGAACGGAAACCGTTCGGAGAAAGAGAGTTCAAGTTTATTTTCCAGAGCGTTCGGATAAATAGAGTATAGAGCCGGCCCTTTTTGTTGCGCATGCCGATATGGAGTGATAGCCTATCAAACCTAATTACAAAACATCAAATTATGGTCAAATTCGGGGGGGGGGGGGGG